TTTAATTTGTAATTATTCTAAAAAGTACTTGTATAAGTAATTTAATAAAAATGCACAAATAAATGTAATACCTAAAGTCAGTAATCTCACTAATTAATGAGAAAAGTGTAGATTAAGAATAATTTCTGAATCGGATTGTGATTTCTAGAGTCAGAATCAGGTTGTGAGCTGTCTAAAAGTTCCCATCCAACAAAAAGCTCAATTCAAATAGTCAACAATTCAATGTAAATAATGACCAACCTGGCTCCGAGACACACAAGCATCTGGAACTTCCCGTCTTTGCCGATGTTTCTGGTTGTGCTGTTGATGGCACGCATGAAATGGCAGAAATGACGCACCCTCATGTGCCAGTTCTCATCCTGGGTTATCTGACTCTGTTCCGTACTCTCAAAGTAGACCTGCGCCTTTTCTGTGGAATAGAAATGGAAGGATTTAGGAAAATTTGCAACATTTTGAGGTATAATTTATGCAACTAGAAAGATATAGGTTTGAAAAAAACTCCAAGTCTCTGCTTCAAACTATGAACCACCCATAGGTCTTGCTCTTACCATCTGATGCATTTTCTCAGTATACTAAGATTAAATCTGATTGGCTGATTTCTAAACCTCGGAGAGTAAGGGCACAGATGTTTTCTATCAGTCTGGAAACACATTGTTTCGGTGAGCACTTTTGAGGATGAAAGCTCAAAGTGACTTCATACACTTCGAAAAAACCTTCTTCTTTTATTTATTTCTTTTTTTTAAATTAGCGTCTTCCATGCTAGTGTGGTATATACACAGCTGTTCAAAAGTTTGGAATCATTAATATTTTTTTAGTGTTTTGGAAAAAGTATTTTATGCTTGCCAAGGATCTGAAATTCAAAAATAAAGTAAAAACTATGGAAGCCCATTTCCATCATGGAATTACAAAAAAATGTATAAAGTAATGCAACTTTTTATCTCACAATTCTGTTTTGTTTTTCCACCATTAAATAAAAAATTAAAAAAGGTAACTGCGACTTTTTATCTCACAATTCTGAAATTTTTTCCATGCAATTGCGAGTTTATATGTCACAATTCGGAGTGTTTCTCTCAGAATTGCAAGTTTACATCTTGCAATTTTGAGTTAACATCTTTTAATTATGACTTTATGTTATAATTATGTTAATGATATAAATTATGATATAAATTCAGAACTGTAAAAAAAAAAAAAAAAAAAGGTAAGAATTATCTTTTTAATTTTTTGTCCTGTGGCGGAAAAAACCTTCCATAAAAAGAAAAACAGTACTATTGTGAAATATTACAATTTGAAATAAATATTTAAATGTATTTTAAAATAACATTTATTCTTGTGATGGCAAAGTTGAATTTTCTGGGGGCACATGATCCTTCAGAAATCATTCTAATACAAGCTGCTCTTCCTGTCTAAGTGGGCGGTTCTTGACCAAAATATGCTACTGTATGCACAAAATTGTAAGTATGAGCAATTAATAAACACTTGAATGAAATGTAACAGTATTTGTTACCTAAAAAGTCCCAAATGAAGACATTCTTGAAAAGGCGTGGTGACTTGAAGCCATGCTGAAACACCTGCTCAAGAGCCCATACTAAACCATACTCTCCACACAGAAGCAATGTGAGGCTTCCTCTCTACAACAGATGAATAAAGAAAGATTATCCATATGTGCCATTTTCATTCACATGTGTCCTTTCCACTGCAAGTTTTCTGAGAAAAAATGACTTTACCTCTTTTTCTGGCTTATGGAAGTGTTTGACGATACCGTTAATGGCCTCTCCCACCCCTTCCTGGATCTGGCCCGTGTTTAACTCTAGTGGGCACACAACGGTAAACGTGCTTGAGACAACAGCAATATCCTCCAGCAATAAGTGCAGTTATACAATCTATGAGATATGACTTTTGACTTTTATGAGATTTCCAAGTACGTACTTGGCTTGCTGTTTGGCGAAATGGTGACAAATCTTCGCATCATCCCAGGGGATTGCTGCATTGGAGGAGTCCGGCACATTCTGTCCTCATTCTCCATGTTAGTCACCAATTCGCCCACCAGTATCCTCTCCAAGCTGCCATCATCTACTCCTTTCCCGAGCCAACGGCCGCATGGAAACCTACACAACAACAGTCCGGCAGTCAGTTAAGGGTTATAATAATGAATAATGTGATTATGGAGCTACTAAAATCTTAGTACTCACTTGTAGGTGTGCCCTGTGATCCCGTTGCGGACCATTACACACTCCACTAGCCACTTAGCATACAGTCCTGAGTTATCATGGCCCATCTGTACTGTGGTCAGCTTCCCCAGATTCTGGCACTGTGCAAAGTACATACAGAATTATACAACAAACCTCGACCAAACAGATTAACACAAAAGGAACTCACTTTGGAGTCAATATCTAGCATGGTGCTCAACAATACACCTCTCTCTCTTTCTCTCTCTCTATATATAAAATATATATATATATACACACACACACACACACACACACACACACACACACACACACACACACAGTATACATATAGTAGGGCTGGCTATTTAGATGATTTCAATCTCATTCAGTTTGATATCGATTCATTTGGATATGGACGTGATTAGGTTCAGGATATGTGGGGTTTTTTCCAAGAAAAAAATCTCTGTCAACTAATGGTGTAAAATATACAATAAAACATGTAATTTAGTACATTACTATATTAAAGTGATTTGTAATCAGACTTTTAAATTGCACATAAGGCATTTTTAAAGAGTTTTTATAATAAAAATGTATTATATAATACTAAAAAATTATTATAGTAACTATTATAAAAAAAAATTATAATCTACATTTCACTGCTGGTTATAAATTCTCTATATAACTGTGTACGTGACAAATAAAAATATTGAATCTTTGTTGTTGAAATATAAACTTTTAAACAGTGAATGTCTTAACTTATTTCCATGACATTTCCATGATTTATTCAAACAGACACTGAAAAACAGATTAAGTGAAAATATAATGTATATGTAATATAGTACATATATTTAGCAAAATGCTCCTTTCTAGAGTTCACTTTTCTAGCTAACTATCAAGTTTATGGTCACTGAATGGCTTTTCTGAGGTAAATGTGACATTGTTTACAAACGGTTTTATTTGACATCTTTCTTTGTTGAAACACTGATTGAGCGATTACATAAGACATGATAATGATACATTTCGGTAAGTTGTACGGTTTCATTCAACATACTTTCTGATGTTTATTTCGTGCAGTAACTAGTAGTAAAGAGCAAGAGATGATCAGTTCACTTGCGCTCTGTTCTGCCGCTTGTACTGAGGGGCTAAAACAATGTCACACTACATTATAGAGAGCCAAAACAGGATTTATTGTTTGAATTCCATAATAAAATTTACAGAATGTGTAATTATTCATTTAGAATTATTGTATGGGAGACGCATTACAAATAAAGTTTCAGTAAGTTTTGTTCATGCATCAACTGAAAACAGCATAGATTCTATGTATTTTACAATAAACATCAGATAATCAATATTTTCAACCCAGCTGTAATAATAATAATAATAATAATAAAGTTTATTTTATAAAGCGCCTTTAAAAGCAGCTTCTCAAAGCGCTGAACACAATATAATCAATACAATAAAAAAACTATACAAAATCAAAAGCAAATAAAAAAAAATATGTCTTAAGTTGAACTTTAAAAACATCATAATTCTGAACTTCCCTAAGTTCAAGAGGCAGAAAATTCCAAAGGACAGGAGCATAAAAAGAGAAAGCCTTATCACCCATAGATCTTAGACGTGTTTGAGGAACAATCAACAAGTTTGACTGAGAGGAACGCAATCTATGACTAGGAGTGTATGGATGTAACAATTCTGTAAGGTAATGTGGTGCCAGTCTGTAATGCTTTAAAAGTAAGCATCATAATTTTGAAATCCACTCTAAACCTGACTGGGAGCCAGTGCAAAGACTCTAACACTGGAGTAATATGACAATGCCAATCCTAGTCCCAGTTAAAATCCTGAATTTTGTACATATTGCAACTTATTAAGTGTAGATTTAGAAGCTCCGGCTAAAAGAGCATTACAATAGTCTATCCGTGAGACGACAAAGGAATTTATCAGCATTACCGCGACTGTAAAATTTAACATAGGGCGCAATGTTGCGATATTTCTGAGGTGGAAAAAAAAGAGGTTTTCACAGTGCTCTGGACAAAAGAACTCATGAGGGCACTCATGAGGTTTTGAATGTATATAAATCTGCGTATCGTCGGCATACAAATGATAATGAAGGCCAAGCGATCTCAAAAGGTGGCCTAAAAGTGACAAATAAATGTTACAAAGTAAAGGACCTAAAACCGACCCCTGAGGGACGCCAGTTGAGACAGAGCTAATCTCAGACCTATAACGACCCATAGAAACTAACTGGGAGCGGTCAGTAAAATAAGACCTCAACCACCATAAGGCAGTCCCAGACACACCAAACACTCTTTCAAGATGAGTAAATAGACTGTGATCCACAGTATCAAACTTCTCCTAGATCAAGAAGAATGAGAATAGATGTTGCACCAGAGTCAGAAGCTATCAACAAATCATTGGTGACTTTGACCAAGGCCATCTCAGTTCTGTGAAATTATGAAAACCCGACTGAAGAGGTTCAAAACGATTATTATTAACTGTGAGATGATTACACAAATGAGAGGCAACAATACGCTCAAGCAATTTTGCCAAAAACGGGAGATTTGAAATAGGATGGAAGTTATTGAAGTCGTCCAGTGCGATGTTTTCTTTTTAGGTAATATATAGTGAAACCAGAGTAATAGACATACTTATGTGTGTGTTGATATACATTGGCTCACCTCAAACGTAATCTCCAGGGTGTTTTTGGGGACCTGCAGAACCCCTGTCTCAGCTAGCTCCCCTGAGACGCACACCCAGGGGTTGGCTGTAAACATGGAGCCACCTAGTTTCTTGCTGGGAATGATGACCAAATGGTATGGTATCACTGTGAACAACAAGGACAAGGTCAAGAGAAGAAAAGCAGAGTGCAGACAGAGGTTTTTGATACTAGAATGAAAGGGATCAAATGAAAATTCTCTCATCATTTACTCATCCTCATGCTGTCCTAGATGTATAAGACTTTCTTTCTTCAGATAAACACAAAGATGTTTAGAAAAATAATTTCTCTCTATAATCTAGGATTATTTTTCCTAAAAATCTCTGTGTTCCATAGAAACCTCATGAAAATGATTATTTAATGCACATTTTATTGGGCCATTAAGTTTCCTTAAACTAGATTACATTCACACTAGTTTGGCAGTCAGACCTTGAGCATGCCTCCAAAATTCTCACAGAGGTCATGCAATTTTTTAATATAATACGAAAATGATATATTTTTTATTCCATATCATTTGTACATATAGGAAATTATTAAATATAATTCCTCTTTGTGTCTTGCAGTTATTTTGTGAAAAAAGTGGGATTTTTTTATCCATAACTATTTCTAACTGGCAACTGGGTTTTTTTTTTTTTTTTTTT